CTTTCACTTTGGTTTTGGGTCGGGTAGACCGTTAAATCCAAGTCACGTTTCAATAATCTCCACCTTGACTTGGAGTTTCTTCAACCACCAAAGGTTCGTCAGTATCTCTCAGTCGTCTCCTTCTTGCCAGATGCCCCAAGAGGGCTTTACCTCCTGCTAATATTCATCAAGTTCAAGCAGTGCTCAAACTTCTTCGTCGGTAGCGCATTTGTCAATATATCAGCTGGATTGTGTTCTGTTGCTATTTTCTTAATAGAAAACTTGTCTTCCTCCGGAACATCACGAATAAAATTCAACCTTACATCAATATGTTTGGTTCTCTCATGATACACTGGACTTTTAGCCAAACTCAAAGCACTTTGACTATCACAGAATAACACCAGTTTCTCCACCTTCAGACCCAAACTCTACACCAGACCATGTAACCATATACCCTCCTTAATACCTTCAGTCATTGACATGTATTCCACCTCAGTCATTGACAGTGCAACCGTAGGTTGTAAAGTAGACTTCCAACTGATTGCACATCACACAGAGTGAAGATAAAGCAAGTCAGTGATCTTCGTTTCACCAAGTCACCCCTGTAATCAGAGTCTGCTTAGCCAACAAGACCATCACCATGGCCTTTATAATCATATACCAGAAAAATATCAGACGCTCATTTCAAATATCGCAAGATTCACTTTACAGCTCCCCAGTGAGCTTTACCCGGATTAGCCATAAACCTGCTCACCACACTAACCACATAAGCGAGATCCGGTCTCGTACATATCATCGCATACATAAGATTTCCAACTGCACTTGAATATGGAACCGTCTTCATGTAGCTAACCTCTTCATCTGTACCCGGTATAGTGCTTCGATCAAGTTTAAAGTGTGCCGCCAAAGGGGTACTTACCCGTTTGGACTGATCAACAGAGAATGCTTGCAAAACTTTCTCAATATACTTTTCTTGAGAAACCCATAGCCGTCCTGCTTCTCTATCACGCCAGATCTCCATACCAAGTATTTTCTTTGCCGCACCCAAATCCTTCATCTCAAACTCACCCTTTAGTAGAGTCTTCAAGTCATTAATTACAGCCATATTTTTAGCTGCAATTAACATATCATCCACATACAACAACAGACATACAAAGGAATTAGTAGAAACTTTCTTCGAGTAAACACAATTATCAAACTGATTACGAGTATAACCATTAGATACCATGAAAGAGTCAAATATCTTGTACCATTGCCTCGGAGATTGCTTCAAGCCATACAGTGATTTCTTTAACAAGCATACCTGGTCCCATTTAGAACTGTAGAACCCCTCCGGTTGAGACATGTAAATCTGTTCTTCTAGATTACCATGAAGGAATGTTGTTTTTACATCAAGTTGCTCCAGCTCCAAATCAAAAGCACCCACCATTGCCAAAAAAAACCTGAATGGTTTTGTGTTTCACTACAGGAGAAAAGACTTCATGGTAATCGATTCCATCCTTCTGTGAAAACCCTTTTGCCACCAGTCTCGCCTTGAACCTAGCAGGTTCAACACCAGGAATTCCCTCATTTCTTTTAAAGACCCACTTGCATCCTACTGGCTTCACCCCTTTTGGTAGTGCAACATGATCTCAAGTCTTGTTTTTTTCAAGAGACTGCATCTCTTCATTCATCGCCATAACCCAGGTTTCTGCATCCTTACTCGCCACAGTTTCTTTATATGTCTTTGGCTCATCAAAGCCAAGATCATCACCAACCGTCAGTGCATAAGCCACAGAATTCATGTCACATGTATTGACACATCCTGCAAACCTAGCTGGTTTCTGAATATTTCTCTTTCTCTTTCTTACTGCTATGGAATCTTCAACCCCATTACCAGCGTCATTAGATTCCCTCTCAACCGGTTTTCCTTGAGGTTTTGATTGATCTGGTTGATCGAATTGATCAATAGTATTATCCTATTGCTCTTCCTCTAACACAACTCTGTCAGGAGTCTCAAACTCCACCCTCTGGTTAGCACCACAATCTTTTGTATCTGCAATACTTTCACAACATCTACTCTAATCAAGCATAGCAGATTCATCAAAGGTTACATATCTGCTAATAAGAAATTTACCAGGATTTTTACCTTCTGTACACCACAGTCGATAACCTTTTACTCTTGTTGCATACCCTAGAAATATGCAATTTACCGCCCTCGGCTCCTGCTTACCATCATTCACATGAGCATATACAGGGCATCCAAATATTCTTAGGTTAGAGTAATCAGAGGGTTTACCGGACCATACCTCTTGAGGAGCCTTTAAGTCAATTGCAATTGATGGAGATCTATTAACCAGATAACTAGAAGTGTTAACTGCTTCAGCCCAAAATTGCTTAGATAAACAAGCAAATATGCGCATACACCTAGCACGCGCCATGAGGGTTTGATTCATTCGCTCTACAACTCCATTTTGTTGTGGTGTGTGTCGTACAGTGCGGTGTCTCACTATACATTCTTTGTTACAGAAATCATCAAATGGAGCATTACAGAACTCCAACCCATTATTAGTTCTTAGAGTCTTGACCTGTTTACCCGTCCGTTTTTCAACCATGGTCTTCCACTCCTTGAACTTTCCAAACACCTCATCTTTAGTCTTCAGAAAGTACAACCAGACTTATCTCGAATAATCATCTATGAAAGTGACAAAGTAAGAACACCCGCCCTGCGATTTCACCGGAGAAGGACCCCATAGATCTGAATGAACATACTCCAGAATTTCTTTTGAAGTGTGATGACCGGTACTAAACCTCACCCTGCGTTGCTTCCCTTTTACATTAGCCTCACAAAATTGAATTTTACATATCACATCCCCACCAAATAAACCCTACTTGCTCAACACAGACAACCCTAGCTCACTCATGTGACCTAATCGACAGTGCCACAAATTTGTCCTAGCATCATGTTTATCCAAGGACTGGGATACCGCCGTCGTTCCCATCACTGAACTGCCCTGTAGAAAATAAATTTCATGCTGCAGTTTTCCCTTCATCATTACCAGAGCACCTTTCAGGACTTTCACCCACTCACTTTCACCATGATATTTTAAACCATTCTTGGCTAAGGTGCCAAGAGAAATCAAATTCTTTCTGAGTTCAGGAATATACCAACAATCAAATTTCCTGACAGTATCGTCATGCAATTTTATCTGCACTATCCCGCTCCCCTTTATGGCTAGAATCTCATCATCACTTAACTTCACCGTTCCATTCCACTCCTTAAAAGAAGAGAGTAGATCACAAAAGAAAGTTATATAGTGAGAAGCACCGGTATCCATAATCTAAGAATCAGCAGTACTAGCACTATACGTTGTCAGAACTTCACCAAAGTCCCCATCATCAGAACTATCTTGTACCACAGCAGCACTGCTGCCACTGTTACTAGAATCAACTTTTGTATTTCCATTTTTCTGTGGACAATCCATTTTAACGTGCCCCTTCTGCTTGCAAAGATACCACTTAACTTTGCTAAAGGATTTTGATTTTGAACGTGACCTCCCATTCCCTTTACCCCTCTCCTGTGGTCTTCCCCTACTTGCAAACAGACCTGAACCAGAACTCTCTTCCAGAGAAACCTTTCTTTTCAGTTATTTGGACATAATGACATCTTTCACATCATTAACAGAAATTTTAGTTCTACCATATAGCATAGTATCTACAAAATTCTCATATGAGCCAGGTAGTGAACACAGTAAAATTAGGGCTTGATCTTCATCATTTACTTTAACCTCAACCCCTTGAAGATCAAGAATAATACGGTTAAATGTATCAAGATGAGCCTTTACCTGCGTACTTTCGGACATCCTGAGGGTGTAAGGACGTTGCTTCTGATATAGTCTGTTCGTGAGAGAGTTGCTTTGGTACTTCTCTCACAGTTTATTCCATAACCCAAAAGCCGTTGTCTGATCTACAACCTCCCGTAACACCTCATCAGTAACTTACAGCAAGATCGCAGAATGAGCCATTGCCAAAATCTCCTTAGTTACCTCCTCTTTCGTGTCTCTAGGAAACTTGTCTTCTCCTTCCAACACAGCCGCATATCCTTGTTGAACCAGAAGTGCTCTTATCTTGACCTTTCAGAGCGTGAAGTCATTCAACCCATTAAATTTCTTCATATCAAACTTATACGAGGACATCTTCAATCAATGAGATATGGTTCTGATACTATTTGTTATGAGAAAACGAGAAAGAAAATAAATAAAGAACATAGAGGTTTTACGTGGTTCGGTGACGTTGTGTCAACCTACGTCCACGGGCAGGAACCAGAGAGATTTTCTTATACTAATTCAGAGATTTACAATTATGTCATCCGACTAAGAACCATAGCTATCTATTTATAAGCATCCAAAACACCCAAAATTCTAAGCTTATTTGTTATTAGAACCTTGCAAATTGAAACAACCCTTTCGCTTTGGTTTTGGATCGGATAGACCGCTAAATCAAAGTCACGTTTCAACGATATTCAAATATATGTAAATTTATTTGATATCTTTCTAATCTGATCACTTTGGTGATTAATAGATTATTTATAATTTAAATATTAAATTATATAATATATTCAAATATATCTAGATTTATTTAATATCTTTCTAATCTGATCACTTTGGTGATTAACAAGATTATTCATAATTTAAATATTAAATTAAATAATATATTTTGAAAATCCCTATAATTAATATTTCCTATGTTTTCAAAAAATCAAAAAATTTATTATGTGTGTTTGTTTGGAGGTTTGGATTTTGAGTTGAGATTTAAATAGTAAGAATTTTGAATATAAATAGTTATATGATGTGATATAAATAGGTGTTAATGTGATATTTTAAATATAAAATTAATTTTTAATATAATATAAAAAATAAAAAATAAAATGTGTTTGATTTGATATTTAAAAAATAAAAAAATAAAATAAATAATATATTTAAAATCTAAGCGCCCGAACAAACACACCCATAGTAGTTTTGAAACCTCCTAAATATCGTAATTTTGATCATTCTTTTGACGGAAGGCCATTTTTTTCTAAAAAAGCCCGGCTTCCGTTGCCTTCTTCGCGGCGCTGCACCGTAAACCCTAATCTTGTTCTTCTTTCTCTACATCGAACTTTTCGGGGATTTTTGTCGCGGGCTGGACTACTCCCTCGGTGAAAGATGGCGGCTTTGGCCCCCGAGAAAGTTATTTCTGCATTTGAAAGCAACACAGAAGAAATAGAAGTAGGAAGAGGAGAAGATGCTTCCCACGAATTCGAGGAGAAGGAAGAAGAAGAAGATTTGTTGTTCTCATCAGACTCTGAAATCGGGGAGGCCTTGGATTACTTGGACTCCATAGACGATGCAGAAGGCGGAGTAGTGGATGGCGGTTCATTCACTCTGCTGAATGCGAGGCGGCCGAATGCTCACGGTGGACTCCACACCCGCCCCAACTCCTCTTCCCTTCAGCCTATATCCAATAAGTCCCAGAAGTTCGCCAATCACTTTAGGGCGTCACCCTTGGAGGTACGTCATAATGGTTTATCTGGATTTTTTCTGCTATGTTTTCGTGTTCGATATCTAATTTTCATTTTCTTGTGGAGGTATTGTGTAGTAAGTAATATAGGTTCCATCTTAAAATTTTCTGAATTGGAATTGAAAGCAATGAGTAGATAGTGTTAAATTATCTGTGCTCCTCCAAATCAAGGGAGTGTGTGTATTCAGCTAAAAGGACCCACCTTGATATGATCAGGAAGTTTCTTTTCATGAGTGGAATGGTGGATTGTCTTGCCTGTCTATCTTCATTTCCTTTTTGTGCTTTGTTATAAAATGCCAATCGGTTTGTGCAGGAGTGGGAGGGTAGGTTCAATGCTGGGATGTCGAACTCAGTTACAACTGCTATTCGAGACAGCGTTCGTGAAATGGCTATTGGCAAAACTAAAACAACTGAAAAAGCTGATCGTGCAACTGTTGAGCAGGTAAACAGTTTATGTTGGAATGAAGACGGAAATTATATGTTTTGTTTTCTGTTTCGATTATTTTCCTTAACTCTAAAATTCATTATTATTGTGATCAAAGTGCTCTTTTTTTTCACTTAATGATTCCATGTTCATGTTACTATCCACACTTGAAGCATCCCTATTCCCTACCCTATAAATCACACATTTATGCTTGGAGCTTGATGCTATAACTTGCTTGATTATGACTGGATTAAGACCTGACTGCTGTGGTTTATTTACATCTGTCCAGGCAATTGATCCTAGAACTCGAATGGTTCTATTCAAAATGCTGAACCGGGGTGTATTCAATGACATCAATGGCTGCATTTCAACTGGAAAAGAAGTATGTCTTTAGCTTATGTTTGCATCAGTTTTTTTTTACCATCTCTTTTTAACTTCAAACTTATCATGAAATATGTTAGCTATTATATGTTGTTTGAGTATTCCATCTTCTTGAGCTCTTATCATATTCACTATCTTTGAAAGGCTGTTGCTGAACTTCTTTAATCCAGTGCCTTTTTTATGTTTTTTTTTTTCGGGTTTACTAACAGGCCAATGTTTACCACGCTACTAAATCTGATGGTCAAGAACTGGCAATCAAGGTTTACAAAACTTCAGTTCTTGTATTCAAGTATGATCCGCAACCTTAAACATTGTTAATTGAATGTGCATTGCAGAATTTTACTTGATAAAAGCTAACATCTTTTGTAGTTATTCTCCCCATCTCACTATTATTTAGTGATTTTCACTCATAGTAAATTTGGCTGCATCTTCCACCTTTGATTCATTAAGTAAAAGGGTATACTGATTCCTAATTCATTGATAATTGGAGTTATCATGTGCTCTCACTTTTAATCAAGGACATTTGCATTTTGCTGATTGTTTGGTACTTTAATCATGGTGCGTGCTTCAGTGGTGGGATGTCCTCTTATATTTATCCCAATATGACAGGGATAGAGATCGCTATGTACAAGGTGATTACCGGTTCAGATATGGGTATTGCAAGCACAACCCCCGGAAAATGGTGAAGACCTGGGCAGAGAAAGAAATGAGGAATCTTATGAGGTGAAATACCTTTTATTTCTAGTGATTGTGTATGTTATAATAGTGATATTGATAATCTTCAGTCTCTGTTTTGCACTTCAAATGGAAAGAGTTCTATGTGACCATACTATATCAATAATAAATCAATTTTTTTTTTGTAAGACTAATATCTTCAAGTTATAGAAGTTATATTCAAACCATATTTTTTTGTACTAAAATCAGAGAAATAAAGATATAGGTTTATAGAAATCTGGTAAGTCACCATGTAGTGTTCTTCCTCACATGTATGGCATTTTATCATCTTTGTCACTCAATATGTTTCTTTATCCTGAAATTAGGCTAGGTATGAATTACAACATCTGACACTATGTATTTTATTTTGCTACACATGAAGACTAAGAGCAGCAGGAATCAGATGTCCAGTGCCACTACTGTTGAGGCTGCATGTTTTGGTCATGGAATTTATAGGTACTTACTTATATTCGCATTTTTGTGACAATTATATTTATTGCTTGTGTCCTTTTTAGGCTGTTAAATCATAGTGTATGCATTTTATACACAAAAAAACTCGGAACTGAATTTTGAGTTCCAAAAGCTGCACAAATAAACATTTGGATAGTTATTGAGCATGTTAATTCAATTTTTTTGTATGCTTTGTATGCATTGTATAATTTCAACCTTACAATGAATGAACACCTGCTTGCTCACATTAGAATAAAAAGGTTTATTTATTGATCCATCAGTTTTTAATTTGGTCCTTATCATATTTGGGGTGGTTCTGGATTTATGTTTTTATTATGATTGGTATTCAGTTTATAGTTATTATTTCATGTCGGGCTAGGTTTGTTTGTGTTCTGAAGTTAGTCAAGGAGATGTGGAAATCCAAGAAATAATATTGACTGGGTGTAACTATTTAAAAGTCACTTTTAAAGTGTGAGTCAAGTTAAATGGTTGTGGATTTGGTGATATGAGAGTTTTCTGCATCTGGAATAAAGTTCTTATTTAATTTTTCTGCAGGCAAGTCAGGATGGGCTGCTCCTAGACTCAAAGACTCTGGCTTATCTCTTGATAAGTTGCGCGAATGTTATGTGGAGGTGAGTTTGGATGTTTAATTTAGGTTCTTGGGTATTTAGAAAGTATTATGTTAGATAATTATTTCTCAATCTATTATTTATCAAACCCAAACAATGGGAGTCCTTTTACCCAAGCATGCCGTGAATAGCTTATGTTCTCATTAATTGGTTGGTTGAGATGGCCCAATGCTTGTCAGTTTCATTGCTAAATGCGCTCGGTTTAAATAGTTTTCTTCAAAGGTTTAAGGAACATACAGTCTTTAAGCTTCTTTAAAAATAAATGGAGCTTGATAGTGTAAACTTCTTGTGCCAGATAATTATGGCAATGCGGACATTGTATCAAAAGTGCAAGCTAGTGCATGGCGACCTCAGCGAATATAATATACTTTATTTTGAGGTTCGCTTTTATTCTCTTTTCTTTTAGTAATAGCATTCTGAGCATAGTCAGAGACTTATTGTTTCATATGCAGGGTCACCTTTACATAATTGACGTTTCACAAGCAGTTGATCTTGACCATCCTCAGGCCCTTGTCTTCCTTCGAGAAGATTGTCTTCATGTTTCAGTAAGTGTTCACAACTACTAATTTATCTATTGGTTACTTAGTGTGAAGGGAAGCTGACTTATGTTTATTATCTTCATGCTCACTCAGGATTTCTTTAGAAAACATGGAGTAGCTGTTATGACAATTCGGGAATTGTTTGAGTTTATAGTAAGCCCTGATATTGACGATGATTCAGTTGATAGTTATCTAGAAAAGGTATGAGAGGTTCATTTATGTGTTAGCATTATTTCATGATATCTATCCAATGCGATCTCAAACTTGCATCTGTATTTGACACCTTTCCACAGATTCAACAAAAGATTTTGGCAAGAGGTGATGTTATCTCTGCTGAGGAAGAAATTGAAGACTCTGTGTTTGTTCAGGTATGTAAGCAGCAAAATAAGTCATTTCGATAGATCACAGTCCATTCAACTAAAATATATAATTACCTGCCTGACGATCAAATGTTAGTGCCATGGCAAAAATTTTCCTAACAAACATGTAAAAATTTTGTGCTTTTCACAGTCATTCATTCCGAAGACCTTGGATGATGTGAGGAATGCTGAAGAGGATGTGCAACGTATCATCAGTGGAAAAGACACTCAGGACATGTACTATCAAACTGTAACAGGCCTTAAGAAGGTTCTTTCTTTGAGCAATCCCTCCCAGGCACAGGAGCAGCAGCAGCAGCTGGAATACAATGACAAGGCTGCGAAAGATGAGCCCGCCAACTCTGACAGCCTAGTTGATGAAGAATCTGAAACTGCTAGTAATGAAAGTGATCAAGATTCCAGTGACTCCGATTGTGATTCATCAGCTGAACATGATAGGCAGACACCAGCGGACAGGAAAGCAGCCAGGAAAGAGAACAAGAAGAAAGTTAAAGAAGAAAAAAGGGAGGCTCGGAAGAATAAAGTTCCAAAAGCTGTGAAGAAGAAGAAGAAGAAGCTGGCTAAAGCCAAGAAGTACCGGTGAGAAATGCAACAGCCTTACACCTGTAAGTAACATAGAAAGAAATTCCATGTTTTTCTAGCTTGCAAGAAATTTTGTTTTATTATTGCACACGTTGAATCTAGGGGGTAAAACTACTACATCCTTCTAACAAGCTTATGTGAGTTTATTTTTAGAGAATGCCGAGAATATTAATGTTTCAATACCTATAGGAAATTCTATTGTTCTTTTAGCCAGTGCAGAACATCTTTCTTATATTTTTACATGACTCCACCCACCCTTCTTCTACACAGCATAGAATTATTTATTCAAAATGCCTTAACCGTGAAAACTTAGGAAGATAAACAAGAACAAAATAATAGTTGATTACAGGAAATAGAAGAAACACATGAAAGCTTTTCCCTCAGGTATTTTTTATGAATGCTTTTGTAGATCCAAAGGCTAGTCTGTAGTTGGTTCTTACATTAAGTATAGAGAGAGAGAGGCTTGTCTAATCTACATGTCTACTTCTTCTGCAGTGGAAAAATGGCAAGCAACTGCTTAGGAACCCATCCTTTAACCTGCAATCCATGTAAATTACATTATTTGCATTTTTCAGAAAACATATTAATCTTTGTGAGCACCCTTCTTTTTGGATCTTGATATATGGCTGACTTGTGAACCTCAAATACTTAATACGTTGTATATGTTTGCGGACATCGTACCTGGTGGTGGTTCTAGTGGTGTTGGTGCTTCCACTACCATTGCTGCCACTATTATTGCTTGTTCTTCTGCTGCTGCTGCTATTGCTATTGCTATTAGTACTTTCATCACTTGATCCTGTGAATTTCTTCTTCCACCAATCCCTCTCAGCTGCCTCAGGCTTTGGCGAAACCTTCCCGCTTCCATTACCAGGAAACCTGTCCCTCTTCTTGGACTGCAAAGAAAATGGAATCTTCAGAAACAACCCCTTGTTCTCAATCTCGAAGCTGGCGCTTCTTCTGATAGTAGTCGTCTTACTCCCCTGCCTCTTAACCAGCTTTACCCCTCCTCCTTTGCCCCTGGAGCCATTATTATTGAATCTATCGGCAGAGGCTTGAGGAGGAGGCTCCATCTGGCGATGCTCGACGAGATCCTTGAGGGAGAGTTCATATGACGATTCGGGTAAGTTCTTGACCATTTCCATGAGCTCCCTCTGTCCTCTGGTTATTGCTTGCAGTCTGGACTTTGGTGATGATGGTGATAGAGAGGTGTAGACATGGTGGGTGAGTAGGGGTTGGGACGTCGTTTTGTGTTGGCTTGTGCTGTTGTTCTCCCATAGAGGTGGCGAACAGAAACCGGAATCATCGTCTTCATCCGGGGTAGCCCTGAATTGAACCACATCTTGATCACCACACCAGTTCCTTCTACTGCTGCTGCAAGTCCCATCAATCTGGTCTAACCTTGTATTTCTGTTTATGTTTCTGTCTTCTTCACCACAACCACCATGATGATCTTGGAATCTTGGATCAAACATGGTGTGGTGTTTGTGGAAGAAGAAGAAGAAGAAGAAGAAGAGCAGGAACAAGGTCTGGTTTTGGGGGATGAAATGAAGCCAAGAGGTGGTTGTGGTTGTGGGATATAGTCATTCTTTTGTGTGTAGGTCCCTCTTGTCACTTTCCTTGCATTCAAAACTAGCCTATTCATCATTTTTTTCTCATATAAAAATATTATTACTATATTCTTTGGGATTTATTGTCTTGGTAATTATAAAAAAAGAAATATAGATAAATAAAATGGTCAAAAACTTCTAGATGGGTGGGGGATAAATATTAATGACTTGGGACAGGCAACCACTTATATATGTTGCAAAATTTCCTTGGCTTCGTCTTTTATGTTTCTTATGGGGAACATTTGCATCGGATTTCTTGAAGCTAAAATTATTGGCTATGTACTTATGAGCAAAGTATCAAATTTTGGGGTTGTGTTTGTTTTGTATTATTTTTTAATATTATTATTATTTCTTTTAATGTTAGATATGATGAAGCTGTTGTACTTTGAATAATAATATTTTATTTATTGAATGATTGGTTTTTTTCATAGATGTATTATATGTGTTGTATTTTTATAATATTATGAAAAAAAAAATGTTGGGTGAATCTATCCGAGGTTTTGATGTCGATTTCAAACTATTTATAGAGATTTTGATAGATTTTAAAATTTTAATTTCGATTTTAAAGAAATCTTTATTAAAATTCCAAATGTGTGAGTTCCACTTCATATATTTATTCCCCTTTCCAGCAATGGCGACCCACGCTGGTGTGCTCAAAGTTGGTAAGGAAGGTAGCAATGGAGGAGCTTGTTTGGGGTGCGGCGTGCGTAAAAAAGAAGAAGATGATTTCAGATTTTGACTTTTAGTCAAATTAATAATATGAGGGTATTTTTGTAATTTGACCCCTATTATATATAATTTTTTTATACCACTCGCACATCAAGCGCGTGTTTTACCATTTTGCAACGTTTTCGAAACCACAGATAGGTAAATTGCAATTTTAGAACCAAATGAGATTTTCAGCCAATTTCGCAAACTACAAGGGAATTTTTTTGCTATTTTGCCAAAAGATAATAAGAAAAGTTGGAGCATATATCATTCATTGTTTTTAAATCCCCATATTGCTCGGGCCATAAATCAACTGATGTGCTCAATAGTTGAGAGTGAGTCTTCCTTAGAAAATGCCAAAGAAAAATTGTTGCCGATCGAAACAAATTATTTCCGGGACAATTTAGATAGTAAAATTAAATATTTTTTAAAATAGTACAATATTCTTAAATTAATAAAATAAAATACTCACATGAATATTTGTTTAATAGTAACGAATGAATACATTTCAAGGAAAAAAATATTATACAACAAATTTAATACTTCCTTCGTCCAATTTCTATTGTACTAAAGTATATTTGTATGGTTTTTTAGGTGATTGTCTTTTTGTTATGAATTGACAAATTTATCCTTAATTGTATGGTAGAGATTAAAAGTAATAAATGAATGAAGGGTAAAAATATAAAATTTGTGTTTAAAAACGAAATAGGACAATAGTTGTTGGACGTCCCAAATAGGAAAGTAGGACATTAGTTTGTGGACGGAGGGAGTAATACTGAGTAGGCGGAATAGTTTCATCCTCGTTGTTTTCATATTCAGCATCCTCCTCGTTGCGATAATATTGTCCACTTTCACTCGCTTCACCGGTACGACTCTCACTCCCACTTTCCTCTTAATGCATTTGATAAGGATCAACTGGATTAGCCATTCGTGAATAATATGACACTGGTTCGTGAGGAATAGGATTATTGAACTTTTCAAAGTGCATATGAAGGAATTTCGTCACCTACAAAAAATAAAAAATAAAAAATAAAAAATTAGAATATAAAGTTTAAAATAAAATTTATCAAAAATATTTAAAAAAAAACCTGATCTAATCTTTGATTAGTGGCTCGCAACTCTTCCTTAATTTTCAAATGCTCATCCATTGAAACACTTGAAAAAGATGTAAATGCAACATGTTGTGAACAGGAAGGTTGAACTTGAACCTTTGCTATATTACCTCTACAACCAAGTCCCGGGACACAATCTTTTACACTTGAGCAATTACTTTCAATTCTCCATTATTTAGCAATAGGGTCAAACTAAATGTTTGTGGTTCAAATGTAACTTTGGCTAAAAGTTGAAGTCAAAACATAAAAGAAAGATGTCCATAGTCATAGAGTCTCTACCAAAGAAAGATGTCATTGCTCTATCTGCTACTACCATTCTGAATGGCCCTCTTATGGTACCCATTGAAGTAGTTTAATTGTAGAATTTTCCAGTTTCACCAACCTCATAAATATGAACTAAGCTAAATATAGTTTAATCAAGTAAAGACTCATACAACCATCAGTGAAGCTAGGAAGGTTAAATGTTGCTATGCTAAAGTGGTTGTGCTTTGCACTATTCAAATTTCAAAATAGTTGGTACTTAGAAACATTTAGCAATTTAGAAAATTGGTGTTTCGAACCCACACCTTGTAGAGCTACTAAATGCTAGAACATATATTTCTAGTTTCTAAAGTGGTCAGGACATGAATTTTCTAAGAGCTCAATCTACAATTCAGACTATTCAGCGGTAGAAATTCATGATGGTAAAATATTGCATCTTTGGGCATACAATAAAGAGTGGTCAAAGTAGCATTATTATATCTTTTGTAATCTGAGTCGGCCTTGATGATGATACAAACAAGAGTGTTCATAGAATTATCCACAAACCTCTAAAGGATATGAATTTGAAAAGGTTATCTAAAAATCTCACAAAGCATTATTAATAGAATCATATGCAAAAGAAAAATTATAGTATCCATTTAGGTCAAAAAAGTTCTATTTGACACACAAGATTGCAAAAACAAAACTTGGTTGAACAAATTCCCTCACCATTCACACCACCAAAAAATTGTTGAGAAGAAGTAATAAGTCAATTCTTTGCTCAAATGCAAAATAATAAAACTAAAAATACATATTGTAGAACTTAAAACACAAATATTAAGTTATGCTTCGTCTATTAGAATTGGTTGCATGAACCAAAATCAGAAAATTACGAAGGCCACCATAATGATGTCAGTCCCTACTGGAAGGGCTTGTTTTGGGTTTCAAAATCAAAAGATTGCTTGCTATTCTAGTTCATTATTTTTTAATAATGACACTAATCAATCTTTATTCTAACACAATCCCTCAAACAAAGGTTAATGGAAAGTGTATCACAAAATTGATTTAAAATTAAATATTTTTAAACATATCGAAAGAGGAGTGAAGGTGCGGTTGAAGAGAAAGAGAAAGCTATTGTAGGCGTCGTTGAGGAACGAATGAGCGGCTGAAGAGGAAAGTGAAGGCGACTTTGGGCGTCGATTGAGGAATAACCACCCGCTACTGAAGAGGAAGACAAAGGTTGCGGTTGTGGGCGTCGATTAGGTGTGAATGAAGAAGAGGGAGAGGCGGTGGTAGTTTATAAGGTTATGCGGAGGCTGAACAAGAAGAGGAAGGCCGTTGGTGAAGGTGTCGATGGATTGGGATGAAGAAGAGTGAGAGGAGTCAATCGTGAAGCGGAGCGGGAGATCTCAGAATGATTCTCGCAATGGACGGGAATGATTTTTCAATTGCGATTTGAGGGCGGGGATTGCAAAGGGATTAGGGTTAACATATTTTATTCCGCGACAAATTTTCTACGACAATATCATTATTTTCTAGTAGTGTATACTATGGTTGAAAATTGACGAACAATATAGGAGGTGTCAGGGACTCCCGTTTGCGGATATATATAATTAATGACTGCGTTTCCCTAACAGTTTGAACTTTTAGGTGAGACGGTCATTCTGCATCGGACAAGAGGGTATATTTTTTATGGTTTCCCAAGATATGATGGCGGGAGACAGTATTGTTGTGGTCATGCCCATAATATCCAAGATCTCCATAGTTATGATATCAAGTGACCTATCGCCAAAATCCCTTGAAAAACTGGATAAACAAATGCTGGTGTCTATTTGTAGTTCAGGCTTGAAGAATACAATATCTTGAAACCATTGTGTGGGCTCAATGCTAATATGTACCCCTAGCTAGATTAAGAGACACATGAGGTGACATTACAATGGTTTCAAGATATTGTATTCTTCAAGCCTGAACTACAGATAAACACCGGTATTTATTAATCCAGTTTTTCAAGGGATTTTGGCGATTGGTCACTTGATATCATAACTATGGAGATCTTAGATATTATGGGCATGACCACAACAATATGGTCTCTCGCCATCATATCTTGGGAAACCATCGAAAATATACCCTCTTGTTTTCATGCAAAAATGATTGTCTTGCAGAATTGTTGGTAATAATTTCTTTTTTCTTAAGCCATACGATTTCTCTACTAGTCGTAGGCTTCACAATATCGGCCAAATTTTGAAAAATTTTAAGAGACATTATTGAAGAAAAACTGAATTACTATCTGGATTTGATTTCAAAAGATGTTGGCAAAAATAGTTATCATGAGTTCATTTTGCTTTTCACATAGATAATAATTTGGTGTGTTTAACTCTTTGGAATTGAGAGGATTTTTAAAAAAGTAGGTAAATAGTTTAAATAGTTTGAAAACATAAGCAATGGTATTTATTTATATATATCCTGTAATATATTGAATATATATGTATATTAAATTTTTATTGTAAAAACATTCTTTTAGTATTATATAATTTTCAATAATTTTTTTTACTAATACATAAATAAAACTAATCTTTTACCATAAAATATTTAAAAATAATAAAAACTATTCAATGTAAATAACATCACAATTCTCCAAAATATGTTTACAATTCATAATAACTAATATAAAAATCATATAAATTTCAAAACACTTTTATGTTCCAAATATTTTATATACCACTCTAATCTTTGCAATAAATTCACTATTATATAAAATATAACTTAAATAATAATATAAATTTAATTTGTTAATATAGAAAATAATATTTTAAGTTAAATTATTAATTTTTACGAGAAAATAAAATATAAATATTATATTTTGGAAATTATGTAAAAAAAATCTATTCATTTCCTTTCAATACAACAGTCTTATTTACTATTTTTGTCAATTCCAAAACAATAGTTTTATTTCCATAAATAATTATATCACTGTATAAC